AGAAAGCCTTGCGACTCTCATGAATCCATTGTGATAGCCGTCTTGGAGATAACCAGGAGTCATCCTTAGCGACTGTCTCGGGGAGACTCAGGAATCAAGCAAAAAGGTTGTTTCTTAGGTTCTCGTGGGTTCACCAAGGATGTCTTCCTGGCGACACCTGGGGGTGAAGCGTAAGCACCTTCTCAGGAACATCCAGACGTCAACCACAAAGGACTCTCCTGGGACTGGCATCCAGGAGTCGACCATAAAGGCAGGCCTTCTCGAAGCATCCAGCAGTGAACCGCAGATGTTTTTGTTGGAGGCACCCGGCCATCAGCAGCAACAGCTTCTTCGGAAAAGACCAGGAGTCAACCAGGACAGCTCCCACCATTGGGCTATCTTGTGCCCTTTTGGGCGGGGGTGCCCGCTGGAGCCCGTTGGGCGGGAAAAGGCGCACCAGGAAAGACCGCGTGCGACATTACACTGCCATCGCCGACGGTGGCTGGTGCCGGGCCGGCCAGGTCTTTGTGAGGCGTTCACCATGACATCGGGGGCCGCAAAGAGGGGGGGATGACTAGGGGGGGTTGGATATCATGGCGGGGGGCATGATATTTCATGGCGCCTCTTCTTGTTATCATTACGTCCCTGGCCCCCCCGGCTGGGCTGCGCACATTCCGCCGGTCATGATTTGCACCCCCCCCTCTTGGACACCCCCCTCTTGGCCGTTTCCGACATGACATCTGCTCCGCGTCAGGATGAGCCTTCTGCATGCACAGCGATGTCGGGTGGAGAAGCAGAGGGAGGAGGTACGGCGGGGGGGGGAGGTATTGACTCTAGGATGGCGGCGTCGGACGACACACGTGGCGCGCGGCGGTGGGGGGGAGAGGGAGGGGGGGGGAGGGGACGGAGGGGGGCGTAAGTGCGCAGAGGGGGGAGGGGAGCGCGGGAGTTTCACAGGAGGGGCGCGGCGCACGCAGGAACAGGGGGGGCTGGGCGGCGCAGGGCAGGGCATGGGCCGGGGCATTCGAGGGGGTGTGGTTTCCTCGGCATCGCTCGGACGTGCGCATTTTTCCTTAGGCGAGGACCATCGAGGAACATCCTTGATCATTTGACGGAAAAACCACGCACGAAACCGATAAAAAACGCAGGGAATGGACGTCCGAGCGATGGCCGTCCGAGCGATGGCCAGTTTCCTGGGTCCCCAGTTTCCACCGCCGGCGTGGCCGTGTGACGAGTCGAGTCTCCTGGCGCCTGCGGGAAATCCCGCCACCGTGCCAGGTCAAGCCTCTTGGGTGGCAAGGTTTCGAGCACCGGAGGCCGCCACATGTGACACTCTTCGTCTTCGCTTCACGCGGAGCTCATTTGGGGCGTCATGGGGCTTTCTGGGGCTCTTGTATGGCAGTTTGGACGGTATCTTGGGCAATATTGGGCCGCATTGGGTCTCTCTTGGGCCACCATGGGGCCCTTGTGACCGTCTAGGTGATCTCTGGGGGATGTCGTCTTGGGGCCGTCTTGGGCCGTTGATCAACCCTCTGAGGCCGTCTTGGGTGTTCTGCGGAGGCCAGCTTGGGGCTCTTTTGGGGCCATCTTGGAGCCATCTTGGGCCGTCTAGAGGCGCTGTTCTGTTGGGTCGCCTTGAAGCCGTCATTTCGCAATTTTATGACTTTCTTCGGCCGTTTTGGGCCAAAATTGGGAGAGCGCGCCGCTGGACCACCCAAAGGGGGGGGGAAGGGGTCCGGGACCCCCCCCTTTCCCTGATCCGTCGTCGGCGGATCCCCCTCCCCCTTCCCCGATCCGTCGCCGGCGGAACCCCCCCCCCTCCCTTTTCAGAGGGGGGGGTTCGACCCCCCCCCCCCCCCTTTGAGCGTGAGATTCGGACCCCCCCCCCCTCCCCCCCTTTCGTCACGCCGCCCCCTGGCTCCGGAACCCGATCCCTACCACACCTAACCCTCAACCTAATCCCTGCCCTAACCCCTAACCCAACCCCCCACTCCTAACCCTAACCCCTACCCTACGCCTAACCTTAACCCCTACCCAAACCTCTAATTCAAACCCTAATCCCGACCCTAACCCCTACCCTAAGCCCTAACCCTAAACCTTAACCACTACCCGAACCCGAACCCCTACCCTAACCCCTGCTCCTAACCCTGACCCCTACCCTAACCCTAACCCCTAACCCGAACCCTACCCCTTACCTCAATCCCTGGCCCCTAACCCTAATCCCTGACCCTAACCCTAAGACCTAACCCTAACCCCTAACCCTACTCTAACCCCAAAGCCTGACCCTAAGCCCTAACCCTTACCCTAAGCCCTAATCCAACGCCCGAAACCCAAGCCCTAACCCCAAGCCCTGCCCTAACCCCTACCCTATCCCCTAACCTTAACCCTAACCCTACCCTAAGCCCTAACCCTGACCGAACCCCCTGACCCCTACCCCCACCCATAATCCTGACCCTAATCCTTAGCCCCAACCCTATGCCCTAACCCTAACCCCTAAACTGTACCCGAGCCCCTAACCGTAACCCAAACCCCTGCTATCAACCCCTACCGCTAACCCTAACCCCTCAGTCCTTAGTCTTAAACCCTAAGCCCTAACCCTAACCCCTCAACCCTACCCTACCCCCTACCCTAACCCTAACCTCTACCCTAACCCCCACCCAAACCCCTAACCCTAACCCCTCTCCTAAACCCTAACCCAGACCAAACCCCTAATCCAAACCCAAACCCCTACCCTAAACCTAACCTCAACCCTAACCCCTAACCCTAACCCCTAACCCTAACCCCTAACCTGAAGCACACACTCTAATCCTATCCCCTGATCCAAATCCTAACTTCTACCCTAACCCTTACCCTTAACCCCTACCCTAACCCGAAACCCTTACCCCGAATCTAAACCCTAACCCCTAACCCCAACCCCTACCTAACCCTCACCCCTACCTCAACCCTAAACCCTAACCCCGAATACCCTCACCCTAACCCTAACCCCTACCCTAAACCCGACCTCTACCCCTTACGCCTAACCCGAGCTCCTAACCATAAACTTTATCCCTCACCCTAACCCTAAGAACAAACCCTAACACCTACACCCTACCATAACCCCTAACCCTAACCCTAATCCCTAACTCTTACCCTAAGTTCTAATCCAACCCCGAAACCCTAACCCTAACCCCCAGCCCTTCCCTAACCCCTACCCTAACCCATAACCTTAACCCTAACCCCTGCCCGAAACCCTCACCCTTACCTGACCCCTAACCCCTAGCCCCACCCCTAACCCTGACCCTAATCCTTTTCCCCAACCCTCTGCCCTGACCCCAACCCCTAAACCCTACCCTAACCCCTAACCCTAACCCTAATCTCGAATATTAACCCTAAGCCCTAACCCTAACCCCTAAACACTACCCTAACCCCTACCCTAACCCTAATCTCTACCCTAACCACCACCTTTACCCCAGCCTCCAGCGCTCCGGAGGGGAGCGAGCCTCCCCACCTGTTTCCTTCCCTTGCCTGACCAAAGGGGGGGCGGGGGGGGGTCCGAAATCGCCCCTCCCCCGTCTCCAGCACCAAGGGGGGGGGGTCCGAAAATGTCCCCCCCCCTTGAAGGGGGGGAAGGGCGGGGGGGGGTTCTGGGAGCCCCCCCCTCCTTTTCAATTACGAGGTGATCCACTGGCGCTCTTTCCAATATTGGAGGCCTATGCATCTGTAGTTGCATGACGCTCCGAAAGGCCAGCGAAGACGCCCAAATCTTCGAACAAACATCGCAGAGGCGTTCGTGAGTTTGGCTTCTTCGGGACCATGCTGGGGCTCCTCATGTGGTCCTCTTGGCCCGTCTTGCGGGCCACTTGGCCCGTCTTGAGGCCATCTTGGGCCGCCTTGGGGCCGTCTTCGTCCTCCTTGGAGGTAATCTTGTGGCAATTAGGATCACTGGATGGGGCCACTTTGGGGCGTCCTTTGGTCGTCCCTTGGGCATTTTTGTGGCGTCTCGGGGGCCTCTTGGGGACCTCCTGGAGCCTCCGGGGTTACCCTAAAGCCTCTCGTGTGGCCTGGAGGCGGCGTCGAGGCTGGTCCTTCTCGGTTCGTGGTCCCCCTCTTTCGACCAGACGTAAGAGTGACCTTTCGCCGGAGTGACTTTTGGTGCGGGCACAGATGGGCCCCCAGATGGCCAAACGCGAAGCGGTAGCAGCGGCTGGCGCGCCTGGATTTGGCCTCCCCGCGGCCCCCCCAAAGCCGCGCACCAAAGGTCACTCTTACCCAGGGTCACTCTGACGTGTAGCCGACTCTTGGGCTTACTGGGGCCATCTCGACGGGGCCTCTCGGGTCCCTCTCGAGGATCGTCTCGGGGCGATCTTGCGGGCCTCTCCGTTCGTCTTGGACGCTGGTGGGACCGCAGTGGCGGTGGTGCTACAAGCGTGCTGAAACCGATTGCCTTTTGAGTGACTTGGACATTTTTGGGCCGTGCCCCTGGGATTCCAACAGCCCAAGACGTTGCCGTCGGAGGTTGGAGGCTGAGGTCCGCGGCAAAGTCACGCGGAGATTCCCTGGAGCGCGAGAAGGTCCGGGAGCCTCCGGAGCACGGAGTGGCGGATACGTGCTCTGGGACACCCATGTGGCCGCATCCACGGACATATAAGAACCGTACGCCCGTGGATTGTTGCCTTCATGTTGCTTGAACATGGGATTTCAGCTCACAGCCTGGCTTCAGCTCCCGCTATTCCAGCATTAGTGAGCATCCTTTATCTGTCTGCCATTGTGGCTTTGGCTTCTCAGCGGAGGGGCACGATGGCACCCGTGCACCTCGGCACTGGGAGCGGTCCAGCGGTGCTGGCTCGAGCATCGCTTGCGGGCGCATCTCTGGCCCCGCACAGTTGATGGCTCCGAAGGTCAAGAAGAAGCGACAACTCCCTCGCGATGGTGCGGAGGAGCCGGCGGAGGGCGATCGTCCCCCAAAGGCGAAGAAGAAGCTCAAGGGAAGGGCCCCTCGCGATGGTGCGGAGGAGCCAGCGGAGGGCGATCGTCCCCCAAAGGCGAAGAAGAAGAAGCTCAAGGGAAGGGCCTCTCGCGATGGTGCGGAGGAGCCGGCGGAGAGCGATCTTCCCCCAAAGGCGAAGAAGAAGCTCAAGGGGAGGGACTCTCGCGATGGTGCGGAGGGGCCAGCGGTCAAGAGGAGGGCTCCTCGCGACGGTGCAAAGGAGCCAGCGGAGGTCGACCGTCCCGCGAAGGCGAAGACGAAGAAGCTCAAGCGGAAGGCTCCTCGCGAGGATGCGGACGAGCCGGCGGAGGTCGATTCTCATCCGAGGTCGGCGAAGAAGAAGGTCAAGAGAAAGGCTCCCGCGGCAGCTGAGCAGGCGAGTGGGGGTCAATCGTCGTCACCTGTCATCGGGCGTGCATCCGTGGCTCCGCTTGCAGGCCCGCATGCAGGTTCTCTTCACCCTCTCCTCCGTCTCTCCATCCCCCCCTTCTCTTGCCTCGGGCCCTTGCTGAGGCAGGCTGCCGCGGCCTTGTTTGTGGCTCTCGGCCTCTGCTGGTTGAGCTGCTCCGCTCAGCGGCCCTTGCTCCCGTCTCCGAGGCTGCTGCCTCCCTACATTCTCAGTCGATATCCGGCAGGGGCTCGTGCCTCTCTCGGGGGGGGGGGGGCAGGAATCGCAGGCCTCCATCCCATCGAAGATCGCGATGAGGAGTTGCTTCGCCGTTTTCGGCTCCGGGGGCCCTCACCTTGGGGCCTGGGTCCGCCCCCAAAAACTGCTCGGGATGAAGCGCTGGCCATGGGGGAAGGATCAGGACTTTCGTGGGATCCAGTAATGAGAACAAGTTTCAAGGGACGTGCCCATACCAGCCGAGATAGCATAGACACAGCCATAACGAAGCCACAGACAGGCACTCCCACGACTGAACAGTCGCACATCTAACCTGCAACGCTTGTCGAGGGCTCGCAGCAGATCACGATCGCCAACACGTGGCCGTGCCACTCGGGCCAATGCACGTGCTGAGCACGCGCAGAGGGGGAGGGTGAAATATAGCAGAGGAGGGTGAAGGAGGAGGAGGAGGGTGAAATGTAGGACGAGGAGGAGGGTGAAATGTAGGAAGAGGGTGAACTACTCGTATGTTCCGACGAGGAGGAGGGTGAATTATAGCAGAGGAGGGGGCGGGAAACAAGGAGGAGGGGGAGGATCGGAGGAACAGGAAGACGATTGGGTGACAATGGGAGCTTCAGGTTCGCCAGCTTCTGCATGCATGTTGGTACATGAATCAGGCTATCAGTCAATACTATACTCTGTCCTCCGTTCCTCCTCCTCTTCGTCCCTCATCCACTTGCTTCAGTGGCTCCTTTTCCCTGCTGTCTTCGCTCCTCGATTTGTTTTGTCCTCGCATTGGCCCCTTTCGCGGGGTCTCAACAACGTTCGCCGATTGTTCGTCCTTGCCCGGTGTAACCACTAGCGGTCTTTGTGCGACCACAAATCGTCTCCGCGTGATCACTATGGTGCCCACTAGTCGTTCCCGTGTGACCACCCTGCCGCCCTTTGGGACCCTTCCTCCTTCTTGCGCAAGCGTTCCAGGGGGTCGCCGAAGCAGGCACCATGACGCAACTCCCGCTCGAGGAGGAGGATGAGGAGGAGGAGGAGGAGGAGGAGGAGGAGGAGGAGGAGGGGGAGGAGGAGGAGGAGGAAGAGAAGGTTTGGGACCGAGACCTTTCTGGCACTCTGGAAAGAGCCAGAGCGTTCTTCATACAGAACCACTCGGACTCACCTTACACGTTGCTTAACAGAGTTCTTTCTCATCTGTGTGATCTAAGCCGTGCATTTTGCCAAGGGGCAGACACATCACGGGAAAAGAAAAGAGCTGGCATCGACGCTTACGTGCACGAAGGGGAGCGTGTAGACTACTACTACGTGCACTGCGGGCCAGAGATATCCTTGCTTCGCATCATTCTGCACAAAACATGGCAGGCAAAGGAGGGACACGGAATTCAGGACCAGGTGTGCAGTGGGATTGCGTGCAGTGTGGACGGTATGTGAAAGGGCACCACTGGCGTTGTTTGTGTGGACAGACATACGGACAGAACCAACAGCAGCAGAACTGGGCACATCACAGTGCTGTTCTGCAGGGTGGTGCTCATTACGGTGGATTGAGTTCAGGACGGGTGCAGGTGCGGGATGTCAAGTCCAGAGCTCCATCAAGGCTGAGGGCATCAGTCACCGAGCTCGACAACAAAAAAGCTGTGAATAAGTATCTGTCATCCATCATGCCGGCTTGCAGAACAGATGCAGAGAGTTCACCATTATTCGAGCCTGCTCCGTTGGAGATTGAAGGCCTAAAAAAGTTCAAGGCGTCAGTGAGGCAGAAGCTCAAGGGTCTTGCTACTCTGGGCATTGCTGGACGAAACATTGGGAAGGATTGCCTTGACACGGTCAATGAGATTGCAGTTCTGAAATATATGCTAAGCATGATGGAGCCAGTCACTAGGCAGCTCCACGAGTTACGCCAGAGGAAAAATCTTACCACGGACAGAATGAAAGTACTGGAGGGAAGGCTCAAATCTACACAACTGGACATACAGCAGTGTCAAGTAGAGTTGCAGCACATCAAAACCAGTATCGAAGAGCTTGAGGAGCTTGATGACTCGGACACCGAGATGGCGGATACGTATCCTGACGATCGTGGCAGTGGAGGAGGAGGCGGGACAAGTGCTGCAGCTTCGGGCGCGGCTGAACGCCCTGCCCCTCAGAAGATCCACGCGCCGAGGGGAGAGCATCGCACACATCCAGCAGGCGCAGCCCCAGAACCGACGGTTCCTGGACCGCCCAAGGCCGAGCCACCGCCGCTCGGAACGCAGCTCGAAGGTATGATGCAGCTTCTGTCCAACCTCATGGCTGAGCAGAATCACACGGAGTCGGTGCTCAACAGTCTAGGGAACTTTGTGATGCAGCAGGCTACGACGGCTGGAGCAACGGGGGCGACAGGGGCAGGAGGATCGACTGGAGTTTTTCCTACTGGGGGACCTGCGGCGGCGACGACAGGGCCAGCCCCCGAGGGAGCGCGATTCAAGACGCCGCCGCACAAGTCCAGGGCGGCGAACAGTCCAGGACCAATGAGAGCGCCGCCAACACCAGTGGAAGGATGTCCAACTCCAGTTGCAGCTACGCCGGTGGATCCTTCGGCCAAGGTGACAATGCCCAACTTCGGACAAGGTGGAGATGGCGAGATACCGTACATGACACAGATTTCGCCGACTCAGCCATTTCATCACATGGAGATGGAGGATCCCAACATGCCAGCGCCAGAGACATCGGTTACGGACGGCAGTACGACGGCAAGTTCAACACCTGTGGGAGCTCCATATACAGCATAGCAGATCGCCGAGCAGACCCGCAAGAGGAACGAGAGGGAGGCCGCAGCGGGAGCGGCCGAGCGGCCAGTGCCAGCAACACCAGAGGGCTCGGCGAGCGGGCTCACCGACGCGATGGGAGTTGTCAACCTCGTGAGCCAGGCCACGCAGGAGGCACCTGTCGACTCCGAGACGGCCAGTCCGCCACGCAAGGAGGCAAGGACCTCCGCGTGAGGCTGGGATCTGTGCAAGTCAGATTTTTCCGAACAGATGAGGGTCCACCAAGAATCTCCCCTCTTCCTCATGTGTCTCCTCAGCGTTCCATACTCAGACATGCAGCATGCAGTATTGAAACCTCAGTGGACTCATCTCGTTCGGAGAGCAGGGCATCATCCTGCCACAATTTAGTTTTCCTTGACGTTGCTAGAAGTGATAATGACACTTGTCAGGCTGTTGAGAATATGTCGGGTAACCACGTAGGATCCAGCCTTGATTTCTCAGGAGTTTCTTGGGCATGGGGAACCCCTAAGGAGTATGAGTTTTTCCTCAAGCTTGCTTGCACGTGTGCATGTGGAAAAAAGTTAGAGGTTTTCGTTTCGCTGTTTTTGAGCTTTTATCTTGCTAGGCCGTGCAAGTCTCCAGCTGAGGCAGTGTGCACGAGCAACTTACGTGAATCAGAGTCTTTAATGCACCCTGGTTCAAAATTTCATGAAGCTGGGGGCGGGCGCTATCATTGTCTGATTACCACAGAGGGGTGTGCTAAGAGTAGATACACTCCTCCTTCGGAAGACAATGAATGGCCGCCTGCCCTAGGCTATCTCTGGCTGGAAGCTTTAGATGGGGCGGGATGGGCAGGAGTTAGGCGGAGAGGGGGAATTCCGACTACACAGGTCTTGAGACCCGACGCTCCTGTCTTTGTTCCGCGGGAGGCCGAAGTCAGAGGGGATTGGCCTAATCTTTTGGCACCAGCTTGGAAAAAGGAGGCATTTTCCACTGACTGTGAGCCGCCCTGTTCCTTGTGGTGTATTGCAGAAGAAACATCACTTTTTGGGCGGCTCCACGATTTCTCGCTCGATGCTTGGATTTCGATGCACCATGCTCCGACGGCGCGTGTATCCGCATCGTCTGAATTAAGAAATGTTTTGGTATATCAAGGTTCGCTCCTAGGCTTACAGGCAGCTGTCTCGTTTCCCAGTATCCAGGTCAACGCTTTTCAGTTTCTTTGGGGCTCTCGGCTGAGTTTCGAAACCTATCTGTGTTGTCCTGGGTTCACCTATTTTCATCCTGGGCCGATACTGGCCAAGCTGCTCCCACGCCGTTCTACCCCCCCCCCCGACACTTCAACCTGTCGGGGAAGAGGCGAGGCATCAGGTACTGTTCCCCCACTCCAGAGCCCCTCTCCTAGCTCGGTCACTGCTCCTCTAGTTTGCCCAATGAGTCGTTTGGAATCCTTATATTCGATCATTCAACGACATGGCAGGCTGATCTGGACAACAGAAATCGAAGGAATACAACTACCAGAGTTGGTTCAACTTGCCCTGGATATGTGTCCGACAAGACAAGCGGACTGGACAGCATTTCATTTTTTCACTGACGGGTCCGTCAAGGACTTAGATATGCAGTCTGCCACGTGGGCTGTGGTCCGAATATCTGAGGACTCGAACGGGCTCTCTTACACTGGGCATGTACACGGGTATCTTGCAGACACCTGCAGGACACCAATTACCGCTAACAGACCCTCGTCAACGGACGCAGAGTATGCAGGTGTGATGTGGGCTATTATTGCCATCATATATGAAGTTGCCACGTTTGGTACCACGATAGCGACTATCAACACAGATTCTTTGAACGTGGTCACGGCATTGCGTGGTGAACGCGCACTGGATACATCTTGCAGGCTAGCGGTCATGACAAGAGTGCTATGGGATTTAGCAGGGTCAATTGCTAATGTTTCTATTTCTCACATCAAGGGTCATGATGGCCACCCCTGGAACACCTTTGCTGACAAATTGGCCCTGGGGA